TACAACTTGAGAAGGATACTAAATATAAAGATACATAATGTTAGAACAACATTAAAAAGTATGTGTATCACAATAATAGGGGTTAAATTATTGAACAGTTTAGAAGAAGAAATTAAAGTAAGTACAAGTATAAATCTGTTTAAAATAAATTATGAAAAACATATTCTAAATAAGTATAGAGAGGAAAACAGATGATTTATGTGTTTGTCCTTTATTCTTAAGAAAGATAAGTTTGAGTATGAATTGTAAAAAGATGTGTTTTCTTTTTTTCCCCATTTGGTTTGGTTGTTTGGGTGATTTGTACTATTTGTTTGTTTTAATGTGGTTTTGTGTTACGTTTGGCATAGTAATACTACGTATAAGTAAAGAATGATATGTATAAAGGGGTAGGGACATATAAGTTTCGACTTCAGCCAACTCCTTTTCAGACAAAGAAAAAAAGGATGATGATTATTTATATTTTTTCTGTTTTTTAAAAATTATGTATGTTTTCTTTGTTTGAAATAAAACTAACTAACTAAGTAAAGGTTGTGCTGCTTTCAGAGTAAAACGTTTAATGTGGTTCAGCAAAACGAGATAAATATCCATGTTAGGGATGTAAAAAAACATTGAAATGGCAATATATTGTGATATATATGATATATATGATACTGATATTCAAAAGCTGTGTATCAGATTTTTGGAGTAATTTACATGCAAACATTTGTGTGTTTTCTTTTCTTTTGGTGCAATTCAAACGCTGACCGCTAGTTAGCAGCAGTGTGAAATTGGTTTTGTTTCCACCACTTAAATGTAAATCCCTCTATTATACTTCAGATACCTCATGTTAAACATGTTGGATATCAGTTTGGACTGTTTATTGAACAAAAAACTCAGTCTAAAAAATTGTTAATATCGTCTGATTGAATGTATCGCAATATATTGCGATATATTGTATCGTCTCCCCTGTATTGTGATACGTATTGCATCGCCAGAATTTCACCAATACACATCCCTAATCCCCGTTTAACTGCTGGAACAGATCTATGTGTAACAGTTGCAGAGCAATAGCATGCTAGTCACATTATGGGCTCAGACTTGTACAGAACTCAGCATCTTTTTTGTTTATGACCTCCAAAAGAAGACAAACACCACATAGTTGTTGAATCAGACCATTTTGGAACCACAGCCGAGTTCAGCATAGCATAGCTGAACATGGAGGCATTTAACCAGAGTCTGGGAGACGGAGTGGTTTGGATCAGAGAGCTCAGAGAACGATGAAAAAGAATGAAACATCAGAATTTGTCAAATAAGGAAACATAGTAACTGAGCCGTGTCATTTCTTTAGACGTGCTCTCTAGCTCAATGCCAGAGTCTTAAGGAATAAACTGGGGAGACATTCCTGTGCTTCGAGTCAGACTCGCAAACCAAACACAAAAGATTAGAACATATTTGATTGATATGCATTTCTAAAGCAAACTTCACTACCAGCCTGGTAAGTTTCAAATGTGATTTTTGCTGCACAATACAACAAATACACTTATTTTGATCTTCTGAATTCATTTCCTACCCTGTACAGTTTTGACGCTGTACTGACCTGAAATGGTAATTACACAACACATCTGTTCTACATTTGATCTTTAGATAAAACAAATTATGTTACTTATTACAAATTGTTCACTTCCGAAATAAGTCTAGGTGCAGAAGTGATTATATTTTTAATTTTGGTGATATGGAATTGATGCATTCAGTTACCTATGGATACCTTGGCTTTAATTTTAATGAGAGCATGGCATCTGTTGAAGGCAGAAGTGTTTTATCTGAATCTGCGGAGAGGGCTTTAGGAAGTGTGATTAATAAGATAAAATTGTGACCAGACTTGGGCTTCTCCTTGTTTATCACACTGTACGGCTCTATGGTGGCTCCTGTGTTATTTTATGCTGCAGGTATTTAGGGCTATGCAGATGCACCTGAATCTAACCTCACCCAGAACAGAGCTATTATATGTTTTTTAGGGTAAAGTGGCCATAGATATGGGGTGGGAACCCTGTCTGATCAGAGAGCAGAATTTTTGTGCCCGTGGAACCGTCTTGTGAACCTACCTAAAGACAGGCTCACCAGAAAGGTTTTTACTGGGACAAATCTCACAAATATCCTTGGTCTAATGATGTTTCCACAATATTTTCTTTAACAAATAGTCCATTTTTAATAATTTACAGTGCAAGCTTACAACAGTTATTCTCTGTTTCAGCTATACAAAGACCAGTGGGAATTTGATGTGCTCACAAAGCCAAAATTAAAAAGTTACAAGTGATTTTATGACAGAGCCTTATGTTGCTTGTAATCTAAGAAATGATGCAACAATCACTGCCTCTCAACACTGAAGTGGGGTGATATTCAGTAAAGGGTTACTGGAGGAGCAACGTTTGTTTGTTTTATGTGATTTAGATTGGCTGAAAGATGAATTTCGTTTCCTGTTTTATTGTCCGGTACATAATCTAAAATTTTTTTGTTTGAAAAGATTTGAGTAAAAATCCTGATTTGTTTTGGTTATCTAATGATGAAATGTTAAGTATGCTTTTTGATAAAGACATTTTAAGTTAGCAACATTTATAGAGAGAGCATGGAAATGTAGACAAACTGTATTTGATCCTGTTATGCAAGATAATGTTTTTATAAATGTATGGCCATTTCTTGCTTTTCTTTAATATTTTTTATAAGCCTATATGGGCTGGGCACGTGTTGCGCATGACACTTAAATTAAATGCATTCATTCATTGATAAAGCATGGTTTCCTGCTTGTGTTATTTTGGATAAGGAACTTTTATATAAAAAAGCTGCCGGATGAAATGAGGTAAAAATGAACAATATAATCTAAAGAGCCATAGTTTAAATATGATGCTATGGCCCAGATGTAGAACTTCAACTAAAATTTTATTTAGTTTTACTCACTAGAGTTTGCCATTGTACAAATGTGGATTCTAGAGGAAAAACCTTCAAATATAATTATTAGTCAACTAGCTAAGTCTAATGAAAAGTAACTGATTTGACCTCAGTACTTCTGCAAAAAGAGCACAGCATGGCATAAAGTACATTTTGCAGTTGGTCAAGTTGGTGTAATAGTGTTAGGGTTTTCTGTTTCTCCAGGAAAGGGAAATCCTTGGGTGTGATCAATATGTGATTACAGCTCCAATGACACCATAGGGATACGTTGTTTCTCCTGATAATAACATGTTACTTTCTTTGGCATTGAATGTGCTACTACTAGTTTATCTGTTGAATTATAGATTCACAAAGTTTATCTCTCACCAAATAGAATATTTACTAAGAAATCACAATGTAAATGTAGAAACACTACTTGGTATACATGTTGGAGGTTTCTTTCTGTTAAAAGGGAGTTTTCCTCTCCACTGTCACTACATGCTTGCTTAGCATGAGGATTGCTGAAAAGACACTGACACTAGTCAGTGACTCGATGCAATTTGGTGGGTTCTTTATATAGGAAACTTTTTTCTGATAGGCTTAATGAATTGGGGTCTCATTTATCAAACATTGTGTAGAATCCTTACTAAAACTGTACTTAAGCTCAGCAAAAAAAAAAAAAAAAGTACTTATGCCAACTAGGCGATCTCTCTTCAGAGAGATCTGTGATGGATATAAAAAAAATGGTCCAATCAGGATTCGATCCCCAGACTTCCGGGTGAGAGTCATGCACGCTAACCATTCACGCAGATAGAGATCTCCCTTGCCCAAGTAGCCAGGGCGCATGATCAATCAGGCCACAGTGATAGGACACACACACTTTCACAGACGCATGACATTCTGTCTCAATCTGTCCCCCTGCTGATATTCTGCATTCCTTATTCTGCGCTTCAGGCTGTGTGTGTGAGTGTGCGTGCATGTGTGTATGCGCACGCGTGTGTGTGCATGTGGGGGAGTCTTGTTCTGTGTGAAAATGAAGCAGTACAAGTGATAATGCTGCAGGATTTCTTAATTTTATGCTTCTCAACAGCAACACTGCAGGTGCTCTCCATGTCCAACATGTGCGTAAGCCAGGTCCTTGGAAAACTTAAAGTTGCGCACATTTTTCCGCTAAGTTTTCTTTCATAAATCCCAAAGTTTGCGTGGAAAGTTGCTTACGCAGTTTTCCGACCCCATTTTGTGCATAAGCAAGCTTGATAAATGAGGCCCCTGGACTGTATTGGAATGTTTACTATGTGAAGTGCCTTGAGACGACTCTTGTCGTGATTTGGTGCAATATAAATAAACTGGAATTCAAGTCAATTCAATTCAATTGATGAGCTCTGAGGTTGTTATGAAGACTTTTACAGTAAAGGTCCTGAGATAAACTCCAACAAGTTGACATATTATTTGTTGTTACCAGTGACAATGAAATATGCAAACGTTTTGCTAATTTCTAAATGTATTTTAATCTGAAATGCTAAAGGTGTCTGTGCAGTTTGAGTGTTAATCGTTTAAATCTTTAATATTGATTTCACCAGAAGAGTTGACCTCTTGTTTGCTATGAATTCAAGTTCCAAGTGACGTGTAAACAGAGTTGTTCTACAGTTTCCTCCTCTCTTTGTTTCACCTCTGCAATATGCATACATGATATTCATAGTACTGATGCAAAACAAGTGACGACTGCTATTTTAACAGCCAGAAGTTGAAGAGCTGAAGAACCTGTTCTCCCTCTGCGTCTGCATCCCACTCACATCTTTTCCAAAAAGGAGACCGCTCTGAACTGGATGCTCAGTTTGCCAGCAATCCAGCTGAGGGATTAAAGTATTTCATAAGTGCCAACATGACTTTAATCCATAACCATGTCAGAGCTGATGTGTGCCAGCCAAGTGGATAATATTATAAACCACATGATGATTAGATCTGAGGAGACACAAGCTGTAATTCACTTGGCCTGGCAGGGCTACTATGTTTTATGGCTTAACTCTCATAATTCTGCAAATCCTAAATCTATATGCTTCAAATCTCATTACGGAGCTCATACAGTCTTCCTTTTCCAGGACCCCGGGTACTGGGTTCAGGTCCATAGGCTGGAACATGGAGATGGAGGGATTTTGGACCTTGATGATCTGCTGTGTGACGTGGTGGATGACAAAGACAGGGTGAGTTCAACAGCATGTGTTAGCATAGGATTTCCATTAATGTGTCTATTTGCAGCGTTTTAATGTTTTGGCATGTCTTCTCATTTCCCTTTCATGCTTCCTGCTGTTGCTTTGAATTGTTTTGGAGTCTGAGCCATGTACTTGAAAGACTGGCTTCACAACAAAGGTTTCCCTGAAATGTGTTTTTGATTACACCTGTCTGCCTTTACACACTCGCCGTCACTAAAACACCACAGAGCAAAAGGCTACTGAGTCCAACCGTCTTCTTGTTTTAATCATTCTACCTTGCTTGCAGTTTAATGCACTTCTTTTCTCCCTTTGATGTGTGTGTTTTTACATTTAAGACCATGTGCATATGGTCATAGGATATTACAGGACCCACCCTCACAATAACCCAACTCAGGGCGTTTACCCACGATCCCACCACATTCTTCCCATGGGAACAGAGCTGACCAGACCTGAGTCACCAGCCGCCGGGCTCTAAAGTTGGAGCTCATTTTGTGTCTTTGAAGGGAAAATGGTTAAGATGAGTGTTACCAAGTAGTTTATGTTAAATTTACAGTAATTCATGTAATACAGTCCATGGTTGTGAACTATTTAGAATCAAAGAATGAGTGAAAAATTAATTAAAAACGTTAAATATCATTAAACATGGGATCTGGTTGTCTACTGAGACATGGGGTGGATAAGGGGCTTCTTTAATTTCCATCTAGCCCTCTACAGGCCCACTGAAAGTTATTGTTTACATCCGGGTAACTGAGCACACCCACACAACCCCGTCTCCAGCCATTATCCAGAGCTGTATCTCTGTGATTTAAGCCAACAAAACAAAACTTACATATTTAGATCTTACTACTTTGTGCAGATGAACAAAAAATGAAACATCTCAAAGCAAACGGTGTTTAGCGCAAAACTTCCAGATCTGTTTGAAATAGCTAACGAGCTGTGGGGACGACAGTGCCGGCCATCTGGACTTCTCACAGCTGGAGGAACAAAGGAGTAACCGGATCTCTTCTACGTTTTGCGGGTTAATTAATGCTGAAGGATCGCCATGACGCCGCTCGTCTTTATTCTGACGAGAGCTTAAACAGAAACACAAACAAATGACATTAGCAGCTGCCTGCTTCAATTACGCAACACATTTTGTGTGATTATTATAAAAGGGCCTTTACCACGGTTCAAACAGAACTATGTACCACATCGGCGCTGTCGTTTTCACACATTGTCTCAGGTCTTATCATTCCCCAGCTAAACGTGCCCCGCAGCTGCGCATATTTATATAGAAAAGCATGTAAGTCATTAGATAACTGTATATCATTTTTCTTCTGTCATGAGCTATTGTCTGCCACGATGTGGGTGGTTTGTCCACTACAATTGGCCGTTAACTACCAGAGGCCGGCCGATATGGTTTTTTTAAGGCCGATGGACGGTGTGTTGGGGTCCTTCGGGTCCTTTCTTCAGTCTAGTAGTGGCGGCAGTTGGCCACACAGGTGCCTGATTTTTTAAATTATTTTATCGGCTTTTGAAAATAATTTCGGCCAATGGCCGATGTAGAAAAAGGGAATATATCGGCCGGCCGATATATCATTTGGCTCCTATTGACGACTGCCTTCAGCATATATTTTTTCAGCTGGAAACCTGTAAAGGTTTACGTTACCTTCCTTCTTTCATCTGTTTGTGCATCCTGCAGCTCTACACGCGTTAACCACGCTGATGGATTTAATTTCGCTGCTGTTTAGCTCTGTTTATTGAAAACTAAGAGATAAATGCAAAGGTGGTCAACGGGGAGGTGCCGGCTTGTTGGCCTGGCCTGCCAGACTCGTCCTCTGTTTAATTCTGCACAGAGAACTAGTCTGGTACCTCACAGGCAGAGAGGCACTTGAGGGGCAGGACAAGGCAGCTCAAAAGTAACCAATCAGAAAAAAGACGGAAATCCCGACTGTACCGCGCAACACTGTAGTAGTTGTGGTAAAAAAAAAAGGCATCTGGCAACAGCGAAAAATCCTTTTTTTTTTAGAAGAAATACTTTTAGTGTTTCTTCATGTTGTGGTTTTAAAGACATTCTAGTGATTTAGAACAGAGGAAAGAGTCACAGCAAACTCCACCGCTGTCTTTGTTGTTTATGAGAAACTGAGCTTCGCTGTGTGTGACGTCCGCGACCCTGTAGTTTTTAGCTGTGGTGAAAATGGAGTGTGGCCACAGCACAAACATCTTTCTTTAGAAGAATGGCTTTTGGCGCTTCTACTTGTGGCCAAGTCATTTGGAACAGAGGAAAGAGCCGCAGCGAACTCAGCTTCAGTCATCCTGTTCGACAAACTCAGCGTTATGGTGTGTGACGTACGCTACTCAGCGCTGATTGGCTCGGTTAGAATTCTCACAGGGTGGGGTTATTTGAATAGGAGAGTTCCCAGACCCTTTCTCTGTGCAGAATTAAACAGAGGAGGAGTCTGGCAGGCCAGGCTACCGGCTTATTGCCCTCCAGCCTAGGGCTAGGGAGCGGGGTTGTGGGCACATGATGTCACGTTTCGGATTTTAAAATTTGTTTTCACACGTTGATGTTTCAAACCAGTAAACAGATTTCATCATCAGATAAAGATAATCTGATTAAATACATAAGCAGTTGTTAGATGATGATTTATTTTACAATAAGAAAGCGATGGAGCAAAAAAACGGCATCTTGGGAGAGTTCCAAGACCAAAACGTCATCGAAGCATGCAAAGACCCATCTCACAATGACCACAACTATATCTGTATGGAACCCAAGGATTCTGGAAAATGATTCCGTTGACTGAGGAGACAAGATGAATATTTAGAAAATGTGCATTTCACTGCTTTGTCCAATACCTGTGCAGTGTGCACATTTATATGCCCGTGTCTCTCGTGCTACGTATGTCTTCTTTGACGCTAACTTTTCTATTTTTAGTATTTTTTTTATTGCTGAAGCTTGCAATATTTGCCTACTGCCTTTGTGTATTAACCTGTATTATATTTTCCTATTCTTTAAACATACGTGCTGCCTTATCAAGTGCATTTCCTCACTGAGGGATCAGAAAAGTATATTCTAAAGCCTTTGGATTTAAAATAACACGGTTGTATAGAGAAATAACATCTTACTAATTAGACATGGTGGTGGTAGTGTGATGGTCTGGGGGTTGCTTGGTGCTTCAGAACCTGCTGTAAACAGGCCGTTTCTGCTAGCAAACCCTCCAATCAGGCTGAATTTAAGCACTCTTCCAAAGGGGAGTGAAACAAAACTCCTATAGTGACATGAAGGACGATTAGCAGTTATCACTAATGCTTGGTTGATGCTGTAGCTGCCAAAGATGTCACAACTAGGTTTTGAGGGCAATTAGCTTCTCACACAGAACCGAGAGGGTTTGGACACTAGAGTAAATGATCATTACTTAAAAACTACATTCTTCGTTTACCCATGTTACCGATTTCCGATGTCAAATAGTTGGTAATTACCTTTTCATAGTCCTGTCTGTCTGAGTCATAAAGAATCATCTGGAGTTGTCACCCTACCAGGTATATTTGCTTCTTGCTTGAAGGATTTGCCATGGAACCAACACTTCTCTGTGAAATCAGGAACTCTTTCTCATCCAGTCCCCCGTTGAGTCCTCAGGTATAAAACTAGGGTTTTATGGACTGTATTGGTTTGAAGAGTTCATCTTTCTGACACACTAGCGCTTTGTGTGTGTGTGTAACTTCCTGGTGCCATGGTTACGCATCAGGCTGGATCGTAGGGAGCAGCATCTGTTTTGCACCTGCTCTCTGATACACTCCTTTCTCCTGTAATCTTAGCATGACTCAGCTCCTCTTCTTAACCAGTATTTGTGGTATTTGGACAAATTACAGGAAAAAAAAACAAAAGAAAAAAAAAAGAATTTGATATTTTAGTGGAATAAATGACACCTTCAATGTATATTTTGTCTTTTTTGTGTGTTTGATATGATGCTCTGAGTCTCTGCTCCCCCTGGCGGCTGTGGGGGCTAATTACCTTCTTTGAACAAGGCCAGATTAGAACTTTATTACTCTTTTTTTTTCATAATTTACTTTTCTGTAATATCTGAAATTAAATTAAAAATTTGTTTAGGGTGTATCACATGTCTCTAAAGAATCCTGATTACTCAAACTTTAATACTTGATGGCGTATGACATGAACCATGAGTTTTTGCTCTCCAGAAGGTTGACATATTGAATTATTAGGGTGCTGGTAGAGTGCAGAGTTCATCTGGGAGGGAACTCAGTTCAGGTTGAACAGTGTTGAGTGTGCTTGCATAAGTTTATCTTACCATGTGGGTGTTTGCCTCTTTGTGTGTGTGTGTGTGTGTGTTTGTGTGTGTGCGTGTGTGTGCGTGTGTGTGTGTGTGCAGTTGTAGAGGTAAAGCCAGTTTGTCCAGTTGTTTCCACAGTCACTGCCTCCTTTCCTGTTTTACAGTTGAGTCTCCTGACAAGCACATTCACCTGTTGCCTTGAGTTTGTTCATGACTGAACATGACTGGTAGCGCTACCACTGCAGGATAAAGCTTAGGCTGTACCAATGTGCGATTTCTAAAAAAAAAAAAAGAGCACGGGGGGAGAATTTGTTCACTTTTTATTTATGAAAATTACAATGTGCTCCGATTAGAGCTGCAACAACAAATCGATAAAATCGATGAAAATCGATGACGATGGCAACACATTTCGTCATTGATTCATTGTGTGGTGCAATTTTTTTTGTGGCGCGCAAACTATATTTAACAGTCAATGCGCACAGCTAATGTATTGGTGGTGGCAGAGCAGAGCGAGGCAGATCAGAACAAGAGAAAGCCGGTGTTTTGATGAGGAACGACACACTTAGTAAGTTGCGTACTGACCCACCATGTGCTTGTAGGCGGTGTGGAGGAAAACAGAAGCCAGCAAAGACACAAAGGCACAAACGGTTTGGGATCAAAGTGCAACTACCGGCAGATTAGCTAATGCAAGAGGGTAGCACAATCACGATCTAGTGGGGTTCC